AGTGTTTTCGATGAAACTCAATTCTTTTCTTGCTACTTTAATTGAAATTTTTGCACAGTCGTATTGCAATATTACAATATAATTATCGTTAAGCTCCTCATCATATCAGCTTTGTGTGAGGTTAATGGCATGTAGATAAGTACCTGCCCCTCATTGTAATGAAAGTGAAACACTGCACGGTTAGGTATAGTGTTTGTAGGCAATACCTATTATGTATCACTTCTGAGTGAGTTTTATTTAGTTGACTTTCATGATCAATTCATCAGTGATGAGATGGCAAAGTACCTAGGTACGTGATTCCAGAGGGGTGTTCACGGGCACCGCACACTGCTGCGTGCGGTGTGTGCGGAGCGTCCAGCAGGCGTGGGGGTAGGGGATGGGTAGGCGGCTCTGACGTCACGGCTGCGTGCGGTGGACGGTCCGCTGTGGCCAGTCCCGGCCGGCCACAGCGCACACTGGTCGGAAACGCTCCAGCGAGAGGCCAGCGGCCTTTCCGCAAAAGTTTTTTGCTTGTTATTCCACAACTAGTGAAGCAAACTTCATAAAACTTTGCATAACTTCTCTGTCATATGTAAGCTATCATTTGGATGTCAAGCACTAAATATATGACGTGAATCTGTTAAGTTATGACGTCATAATTGAGTATAATACAGGATCTAGCACTACTTTAAGTCAACAAGGGAAATTGGGAGCTGCTTTTCGGGCACCGGGAATGGTTTCATGCACTCCTTGCAAGGTCCAGTGCTTCACTTTAGCATTGTTGACTTTGCGTGACGTCATTTATGACGTCACTAAGGCCATATAAGTTTTTCGTCAATAACTCCTGATCAGATGGAGCTAGAGAGTCGGGAAAGCCACCACTGGACTCAGGAAGACCTGCCGAATCGAATGCTATGCGATATGACCTCTTTCAACCATTTTCGTGACCTGAGGGGCTCCGACCTGACCTTGACCCGAGGTTAACACCTTAAAGGGACTATCCCACCTTCTAAAATGTTGTTAAAACCAGTTAAATTGTGCCCGACTTTATAGATTGGATGACCAGGAACACGGTTCTGGCATTTATTTTTCATTAAACATCTTAGGCTTCCCATATTCCAAACACAAACTTTCAAATATGTGACGTCACAGCCCAAAATTACCTCCTTCCCCAGGCCACATTACTGTCATAAAGCTGATTCTTTTTACTCTGTAGGCACCACAACAAAGTTCAGACCAAGTTTTAAGCGATTTTTCAACGAACAAACCCATTTACATCAGAATGACTAAACGAGGTGACGTCACACTAACGGTCGCTCCATGTTGAAGATAGGGCCTTGTACAAGGCCCATTTTCAAATGAAGGGAACGAATTTCTTCAACACCAAGAGGCCGCGGGGGTTGCAACCTAGATAGATAGTGGTTTCTGAACCTCGCCGCAAACTTGGCTATCTCAACTCAAACCCCATGTTAAAGGTGGGATAGTCCCTTTAAGTTGACTTCACCCGAACACCAAGTATAGCATTCAACGCGCCTGAGCTAGACAACCACGATGATGTCAAAATCGCGGCAGTGCGAGCATTTTTGGCATTTGGCAAAGTAATTAACCTGAAACCGAGCCCGTGCCTTGTGGCACTTATCTGACCTAAGAGGCCACTGGCTGACCTAAGACCTTAAAATCGGGTAGTACTTAATTGTTGCGTTTTATAACGGCACACAAGCGTTTTTTTTTCCGCGAGGCTCTAGCTCAATTAGAGGCGAAACGGCGAGGGAGTTGTACCAACCCTCCCCGGTCAATATAGAAAACCAATCGGTCCGGCCAGGGTTAAATACCAGAATTGTGATCTAATGTAAAAAGACGTCCCAAGGTAACCCGACGTCAGTGACAGGTGTCCTATATTTGCAGCGTCTTATATTCACGAAGGTTTCAATTTCCACTTTCTTCAGCCGAGTGATGGTTGTCAATAGCAAGGCTCTCTAGATGCAAGCCGTAATCGCCACGCAATATGTGGAAGGCTTTTGATGTCAATACATACATAAATGCATACATAAAACGCGCTTTTCACAAAATTCATAAACTCAAACGCATCTGTTTTTAATGACCAGTCAACTACGCATGGATGCGTGCAGGCCACACAGGTCAGCGTAAGCCGGGCGCGGCGGCCGAGCCGAAACTGGGGCGGGGCGGGCGGTAGTTGGGTAGGAATAGCGGCTCCTGCAAATTTTGCGCAAATATGCGCAGTTAGCTTTTATGTTGCCCTGGTGTAAATTTAAATCCTGCTTCATCTCACAAAAAATCAGAGTGGAACTAGATGGGACTACCTGTTGTTTCCTTACCTAAACTTTGCAGTTATATTCCAGAATCACAGTAGGAGAGCCTTCATAAAAAAGCTACAGCAAATCTTAGTTAGGGAAAAAGTATACAAAAAATTTTGCACTGACCAGTCGGCAACTTCATAAGGAACATTTTGATGCATAATATGTCGGAATTCAATTTGGTGTCTATCAGCAATAAGACTCTGAATATCCGGCTCAAGAAACCTCTTGCTCCGCGTCAGTTTCCGAGTTCTGGGATACCCCATCTTCGGGGGCTGATTACAGTTATTTTTGGTCACCCGGATTAGTTTTTTTGGCCGAAGTATAATAATTTGATCAATTTCAAATCGATCTATATAAAAAATAATCCGAAACTCCGGAATCGCCCGTGGCCTCTCGTGAGGGCGTTTCCGACCAGTGTGCAGCGGTCGCTGTGTGCGGTGACGGAAGGCTGACGTAGGGACGCAGTGGGCGGAGCTTGGAGGCTGTGTGCGGTCCGACCGCACACAGGGCCCGTGAACAGCCCTCAGGACAAATCTTTGTATTTCAAATACCTATTCATTTTTTCAGTTTTGAGGCAAAATAAATAGACAAAACATAACCAAACCTAACCTAACCCTACCTAAAACATTGTAATCAAATCTATCCAAGCCTTGACTTTCCCCAATTAAGCAAATAAAATCAATGGACAAAGATTTGTGCGGGTAGGTACCTACCAAAGTTCGGCGGTACCATAGATATTATTAACTCCCCTTTTTTCGTGTTTCTAGTGATTCCGCACTATTTTTCCATGACCATTTTGATAAAAACAGGCATCAAACATCGTGACACTTGCCAATTTACCAAAATACAACACGGAAAGTGGCGCCCTTACTCCCAACATGAATTCCCGCTCGCTCAGTGCTCACAACTGACCACATGAGGATAATTTTTTCCTACATATTTTCAGTTCATTTTGTACTAAAATGTGTTTGTTCAGTATTATTCTGAACCAGAGTATGAAACATTTCAGACTGATCCACCGGATTATCAGTCTGATCCAGTCCAGACAGATTTGGACTGGAGCGGATTAAATCATGACTTGTCATGTGGATTCTGGATTGGACCGGATTATTTGTTGAAGTCCAAACAAAATTTTCGCAAAACAATAAAAGAATTTGCAAAACAGATTGGCAAGTTTATCATAGCAAGACAACTTGTTTGGGTCATCTGGTCATCTGGAAGCTGAGTGGTTTCCAGAGCTCGCATTGGGAAGATGACCACGTGCGCTGCGCACGTGCACACCGTTTTTTCTTGTTTCTCATGAATGTCTGGCCAAATCATGTTGCAATTTGGTGTATGGCTAGAGACTCATCAATAGAGAGGTTTGCACAACTCAGGTAGCGTTCCGTCGCACGTGAGCACGTGCGAGCCCTTTTCGGTTCATCGCAGGCAGTCTCCGTGCTCCCGTTCGTGAATCGCCCAAAAGGCGTCTTACTGTGTTAACCCTAGAACGCCTAGGGGGGGGGGGGTTGTATCAACCCCCCCCCCCTAAGGTTTTTCGCAAATAACGTTAACCCTATTCCTGGCGGGGGGGGGGGGGGGCCTCAGGAGCCCCCCCCTGAGGTTTTTTGGTTATTTCTCCCAAACGCGTTGAGCTAGGAAGCTCAAATTTTCTGACTTTTCCTATAAGGCTTCTACGCAACATGTCTGAAAATTTTGAGTTGATCTGACCTCAGTTCAGGTCACCAGAGGCGGTTTGGTGACCCTACCTCAGAAAAGTTTGCAATCACGCCAGAGCTAGAGTTTTTGACCGATCAATTTCTTCTCTTCAGGCTTTAGTTAGGGTACCAGTATGTGCAATTTGTTTATCTCGGAATTTTGATATCGGTGACCTAAGGTCAGGTCAATTTCGCGACCTCCCCATTATAAGTCAATGGGGGAAAAATCAACTCCCTGTTTTTACCACTAAAACGGGTCGGAATGGCCCCATATACCATACATGACTTCATATACGATCAACCTTCACTACCTTGAGGTCTGTTTTGCTGTTGGGCAGCTGTGAGGTCATGTGACGTCATCAAAGGTCACCAAAGGTTTTTGGCCAATAACTCCGTACAGGAACAAGATACAGACGCGTGGATGGTCTCATTGTGTTCAGCTCGTCAAGACGCATCGAATGATATACATGATGACCTCGAGGTCACGTGACCTGAGGTCAACCTTTGACCTTGACCTTTCGAGGTCAACATATATATCAATCGATGCGGATTGACGAGAGGATCACGATGATGCCCTTAGTTTGTTCCTATCTTGACTAATTCGAAAGTTATTCGAGAAAAACTCTCTCCATATCTAGCGCCGCCATTTTGACTTTTTCGACCCCTGTGACGTCATCTTTGACCTGACCTGAAAATGACCTTAGTAAAAATTGTAGACCTTGTCCATGCGTATCCGATGCCGTTTACCGCTTGTCGCTATCTTGCTTCGTTCTCGAGATCTCAGGGGGGGGGCCGAATCGGCCCCCCCCCCGCCAGTTTCTTGTCCCGGCGGAGCCCGCCAGGAATAGGGTTAAAACGGCGGCGCGTAGCGCCGCCAAATTTGGTATACCCTCTGGGGCAACCTTTTGGCACCTTCCCTGAAAATTTCAGGTCTCTGCCGTTTCAGGTCAGGTCACCAGGTCAGAAAAACCGGTACAAGGTCATGGTCAAATTTCAATTTTCTTTATGCACCTGTCCAACTCACAGTTTTGGACTGATTTCCTTCAAACTTTCAGGATGTCCTAAGTTCACCGAGTTGTATAACATATATTCCGGTTTTTTTCATGTCACTGACCTGAGGTCAGTTAGAGGTCATTACGTCATAATGTTAAGCCTATGGGAAAATATTCAATTCGGAAAATACTGGCGATATCCGCTTCGTTCTATCACTTTGGTGCTTTCAAACAACAGTACTTAACATTATGTCACTTGGTGCTTCTTTGTTTGGTGTACTTATCCATGGGTCAGGTCAAATGAGGTCAACTGAGGTCAAATGACGTTTGTGCCAATAACTTGTCACACAATAAAGATACAGCTTTCAAAATGGCATCGTTCTGTTGCTCTTGAACAGCCGAGTCGAATGATATGCAACATTAAGCATTTCGACCACTCTTAAGACTTAAGATGTACTTAAGATATGCTTAACTTTTTAAGTACACTTAAGCAAGCAAACATGTATATCATTCGACGCGCCTTGACGTGCTGAGTTCACTGGTGCTTTTCTTTTTGCTCTATCTTAATTAGATCAAAAGTTATAAGCGAAAAACTTTTAGCCTGTTTTTGCAAAAATTTTACATTTATACCCCCCAAAACCCCCCTAAATATTGACCTAGAGCAACCAAATTTGCACAGGGACGAGATCTCCTATAGACTCATCTACCCTGTAAATTTGGTGTTTCTAAGTGCCATAGGAGCCAATCGCCAGGGGGGGGGGGGTCGTACCAACCCCCCCCCTGGCCGTCCGCGTTATGAAAAAGGCCCTGGCCTGGCGAGGGTTAAAACGTATTTTGAAACACCAGCCATTGAAATGCCAAAATACTTATTGTTCTCAGAACGCCACTCGTCAACTTGTTATCAACAAGTTCAAGAATAAAAGGCGCGGCGACTCTTCAAAAGAAGTTACCGACCGAAAGCGTCAGCGCCACGGTGTGTGTAATTATCTGCCGGAGGATAAGGAGGAGGACGGTTGTGGCGATCTGCGCTACAAGATGCGAAATGGCATGCTACACGGAACCGAGGTAAGACTAGTGCATACTATAACGCAACTTTACTCACATTATAAAAATGAATCGGACAGATCCACGTGGAATCATTTGTTGCATTAACTCTCGCAGGCACAGGGGGAGTGATGCAACCTCCCTAAGGATTATAAAAGTAGCCAAATAACGACCTTCTTCACAGGTACTGGTCCATCTTATGTCATACTTTTGATAAAAAAAATGTTGTTGGATCAGGTCAGGTCACCGAGCTATGAGGTCATTCCCTTGGTCATGTATGGTGCCCGGACCGATTGTTTAGCTGTTTTGTGTGTGTATGACTTACATTTTCTTGCCGAACCATTCAAATTGTATCTGCATCATCTTACACCAGCCCACTTGAGATGACCCAGGTGCGAGTTTGTTTCAGTGACCTCCAATTGTGTCATATCAGGTCATATAAAAGTCACATTCGTTTTTGTCTATACATTCTTATATAAAAGAGATTCGAGAGACGACGTAGGTATCACTCATCGAGACGCATCGATTGCTATATTTTAACCGCTTTTGGATAATGTTGACCTCTGAATATTCTTTTCCTACCTGGGGATGAGATTGGTCATCCCGATGAGATAGGCAAGGCCCTCTCTGAACCACATTTGGCCCTCTGAGGCCAAATGATAGCACGGAATGGGTTCACTGATAGCACGGAATGGGTTTTCTCTGACGTTGAATAGATCCCCAAGGACTTCATGAGGATCTCTCAGGCCTTGAATGGGTCACTGTGTTCGTCCTTGGATGTGTCTTCTCAGGCCCTTCGGTGCATTTATTTCAGTGCTGGCTATTTGTCATTATCCGCCATCCGGCCTATCCGGGTTCTGCATTGATAGCAAATTTCACTTTCCGGCCTAATCTATAGGCCCGGGCAGCGCTTGTCGAACAGCTCTGCGGATCCGAAGGTTGGGACTTTAATTGTGAAAAACCGCCCGCCCGCCACCAAACGCAAACACCGCAAAACGCACGCCCAAAACGCAAACGCAAACTTCGCAAAAAACAATCGCCCGCCCGCCGAAAACCGCAGAAAAAAACGCAAAAAACGCCGCAAAAAACGCCCGTCCGCCGCAAAACGCAAACACCGCAAAAAAAACGCTAACACCGCCGACACAAAAAAAACGCCCGCATCGCCCGCCGCCAACGGCGAAACGCCGCAAAAGCGGCCGCCCGCCGCAAACCGCAACAACGCAAATAGCGCCCGGCCGCCGGCAACCGCAAAACGCCGCAAAAAACGGCCGCCCGCCACAAACCACAAAAAAAACGCCGCAAAAACGGCCGCCCGCCGCAAACCACAAAAAAACGCCGCAAAAAACGGCCGCCCGCCGCAAACCGCAAAACGCCGCAAAAAACGGCCGCCCACCGCAAACCGCCGCTAAAACGGTCGCCCGCCGCCAAACGCAAACAGCAAAAACACCCGCATCGCCCGCCCGCCCGCCGCCAAACACAAAAACCGCAAGAAACGCAAACACCGCCGCAAAAAAACGCCCGCAACGCACGCACGCCCGCCGCCAACCGCAAAACGCCGCGGCCGCCAAACGCAAACACCGCCAAAAACGCAAAAACGGCCGCCCGCCGTCAAACGCAAATCCCGAAAAAAACGCAAACACCGCCGCAAAAAACGCCCGCCGTAGGCAAAACGCAAACACTGACGCATTAAGACAAATATGGCGCCCTGCGGCAAATGTGGTGCATTCATATCTGCCGTTTAAGCAGCCATCCCTTAATTACAGAGCATCCTAATCGTCCAATGTTCGACAAAGTTACGCACATTCTGCGCTTTGCGGCAAAAATGGCGTTTTGAGACAAACGTGGCGCACTGCAACAAACATGGCGCATTCGCTCATGTCGCTTAACAATTCATCCACCCACCAAATTCTAGTTCAATCGGACTTAAACTTACAAAGTTATGTACCTTTGAATATTCCACTATAAAATATCTCCGCAACGGAGGTGCCCAGATTTGCACGTGTGCCACGTGACCACCGGTGGTGCAAGCAGGACTTGTCCCCTCACTGATTGCACCATTTCAGTGTTCCTGGCTTGTGCTGTTTTCGTGCTATAAGGCCACAAGTCGGCAAACACACGATAATCTGGGAGGTACGCGACTCAAACACGTGGCCACGTGGCACGTGCCGGACCTTTGATAGCTTCACCGTTCACGCCACGTGATGACCCATCGACGTGGCCATCAGCATATAAAAGATGACCCCGGCCGGTGTCACCGTCCCTGAACAGTGGACGGCTAAAGTCGAAGAACGGGAAAATTTAGGGAAATTTCACCTTTCGAATATATAATTTCCCCAGAATTTTGAATTTTTCATTTTACAAAAAATCCGAGATAGCAGTTTTTTAGCCCCCTTCATTCTGTGCCTACACCCGTTTTCAGATCGACCCTATCATAAAAACTGACGGCCTGACGGCCAATTCCCCCATTCCTTGGATTTCACAATGCTAGTATATTTAAGCACCAAAATTGACACCGTGCCACGGCACGTGCAATAGCACGTGCGCCACGTGACCACTAGTGCGACAAGCTGGACTCATCTGCTCAACGGCTGCGTTGATTTGGTGTCGCTAGGTGGAGTGGTTTCCACGCCATAGGACCCCCAGTTGGCCAATGTCGGATTTTTCCGGAGGTTACCCCATCAAACACGTTTGCACGTGGCACGTGCTTTTCAATCGCCCCATATCTGACCCATACCTTGTGGTAGCCGACACCCCGGGGCATAACATATTGGAACATTTTCAAAATCTAACGTGGAAGTTTTTGGCAAAATCGATTTTAAAATAATTTTTCGAATTCGCCATAGGCTCAACATGGGGTAACTGTTTGTGACGATTACCCGAAATTTTGTCAATTATATTTTAAATAATTACCACCATGAGATGGGGTCCCGGCCCGAGATTCGACCCTAAAAATATAATTCATTTCTAACGTGGAGTTTTTGCGCAAATCGCATTTTAAATTCTTCCCCATGTTAACCCTATGGGAAAATGCACGTGCCGATTACCCCAAAACGGGTTAATTATATTTCAAGCGACCGATGCCAGCCGGTAGCTCCCCGATACGGGACCAAACGCTGAAAATGGCAAAAAATTCTACCGTGCCGTTTTCGAGGGTATCAAGATGACCAAAATCGCGGCAGAAACGCTAAACACCCCCCTAGAGAGGTAGCTCAGGTTGGGATTTTCAATAGAAAATCACAATTCTAAAGAATAGTGATTGTTCTTAATTGAAAAGTCCCAACCTTCGGATACATGGGATCCCAAGATCCATTTCTGGGATCTACGGACAAATGTCATACCACCATATGTTTCTACAAAACCACTCGCATTCTTGCAAAGGGCACTTCTCTTTACTACACTAAAGGCAACTTATAGCAATCACTGGTTTAGATTAGTAAAGCGAATCTTTGGCTTCCTCAGCTTGATGAAGCGATGTCAAAGACTTTCGCGGACAGGAGGGTCCAGGTGGTGTCCAAGAAAATCGCCATCCCCAAGTTGAAGAAGCTGTACCCTGCCCTCTTTCAGGAAATGGAGGTATGTCTTTAAGGAAATAGAGGTCTCTCTCTCTCTCTCTCTCTCTCTCTCTCTCTCTCTCTCTCTCTCTCTCTCTCTCTCTCTCTCTCTCTCTTTCTCTTTCTCTTTCTCTCTCCTCTCCTCTCCTCTCCTCTCCACATTCCCTCCCCTCCCCTCCCCCCTCCCATGCTCTCCCCTCCCCTCCCCCCTCCCATGCTCTCCCCTCCCCTTCCCTCCCATGCTCTCCCCTCCCCTCCCCTCAATCGATGTAATTACGATGTAATTAAGATGGATAGTTTTGCAGTGTTCATGAAATGATGTATTGTTTGAAAAGGCCAAATATATGTGTGCAACCGCGAGACCGATTGACAAGCGGTCTTCTTTGATGGATAGCCTTATCCTTCTACCAAGTATGCGACCAATACCAAACCATCCAAGTGACCACTGCAGCACGTGGCACTTGCAAAGTGAGGGTGTGTCAAAAACATTCCCCTTGCTATATCTCGAGAACGACTTGGCCGATCGTCCTCAAAATTGGTATGCACATTGACACTCTCCAGCTTATGTTTTTGCATGAGTCAACAGTGGTGTGAATTTGCACGTGCGCACGTGTCACGTACACCCCAAAAATGTGAAAATTGCCTTTGCTTTATCTCGGCAACGACTTGCCGATCGTGCCCATCTTTGGTATGCGCGGAGACACCCACTTGCGAGCCCTTTTCGATTCATCGCAGGCAGTCTCCGTGCTCCCGTTCGTGAATCGCCCAAAAGGCGTTTTGATTGTTTGTATCGCATGTAATGATATATTTCTGTACCGCAGATCTGGGCCGAGCTGGCACGTGTCAGGGGCGGCGGCTCGACCGCAGCCAGTGAGCTCGCCAAGGCGAGAGGGAACTTGACCAGGCTCCTCACCAAGTTTGACATCTGTGAAACCACCGGTGAGTAATTATGAATTTAGGCTTAGTAATTAAATGGATGTCGATTGCCAAGTGCATTTCAGGATAATTGACTTTAACGCCAACAACAAGTTTGTTAACACCATCGGAATCGCCTAACCACTATCGGCTGGGAGACGCTTGCTCTCTCACGGGCTGTCATAATACATGGCTGTGTTCAAGTGTCTACGGTCGCCGCGGCCAAAAGAGCGGGGCTTAACGGATGGCCAATCACGCGTGGGTTGCCATGGTGATGTGATGTCACACTTTTGCGGTCCTAGCGGTCGATCGGGAGCAACCGCAGAGAAACTTCGACACAAATGGCGCACCTCTGACAAATGTTGCGCTCGATGCTTTCGCTTAGACCAGTTGTAGTTCTACTTGTGGTGGGGAAATAGTTAGTGCTAATTCAGGAATAGATATGGTGTACTATTTTTTTTTAATACGATACAGTAGCAGTAGCAGTGGCAGTCTGCGACTGACCGCCGCCAGGTCAGGTCACGCGAGCGAGCGCTCCGCTGTACAGTGACCGGTCGCGAGTCGGCTGTGGCGTGTGGTCGGTTTGAGCCGCCAAAGAGTGAAGGTGATAGGTGTCTGAGTGATCACCGGCGGCAGCGAGTGACCAAACTCTTGATCAGCGATGGATGCTAGCACGCTGAAGAAAACAGTGCTGGAGTGTTTGAAGGACGGGGAACTGCGCGGAGAGTTCCAGTCGCTTATCCAGGAAATGGTGACCGGAGCTGTGGCTGAGGCGATGGCCGCTCGAGACACGGAGATCGCCGAGCTCAAGGACCAGCTGAAGCGCACCACGGACCAACTAAACGACCTGGAGCAGTACTCCCGACGCCTCTGCGTAAACATAACAGGAGTACCAGAGACGAACGGGGAATCGACGGATCAAATTGTCACGGACCTAGCCAAGATGGCCGGTGTTGCCGTCACTCCGAGCGACATTGATCGTTCACATCGCATCGGTAAGCTCAGTGATGGGAAGAGTAGACCAATCATTGTCCGGTTTACGAACTTCACCAAGCGACAGGAATTCTACAACGCCCGGAGAGAGCTGCGGAAGCCGCGACCTGTCCGCGGATCCACAGTGTCTGCAGAAACGGCCGGCAAAACCTTTGTCTCAGACAACCTCACGAAGCTAAACCAGCACACGATGTACGTTGCCCGTAACATGAAAAAGGAGGGCAAGATACACTCCGCCTGGACCGACGTGGGCAAGATGAAGGTTCGGGTGAAGGAGGGAGGCCAAACGAAGATAATCAGGTCGCTTGAGGATCTTTACGCAGTTGCCGACCCAGCTCGCCAGCCTGGGGCCGCCCCTGCCGAGTCCAGCAGCGGCGCCCGAGAGAGCTCCCGTGGCGCATCGGGTCGGGGCAGGAGCGTGCGCGGTGGTAGAGCCGCCCAGTAGCGCCCTCCGATAGCGCGGCCCGCCCCACGCCGAGACGCTTGGCGCCGCCCCTGCGCTGCGGTGCAGCTGTCCTGGTCAATTCCGCGGCGTCTCGGACATGGTCTCTGCTCGACCTGGCCACGCGTTATCTGTCTGCGGATCTTCCCACCCACTCGCCTCCGGCGGTGTGACTCAGTGAACTCTGTTGACCTGAGCTCTCCAGCTCGCCGTTTGGTCCAACCGGGACTGGGCTCAGTGCTGTCAGAGTGACTGTAATCAGCCATAGACATACTACAGCGATCGGCGCAGCAAATCAGTAGCACTGTCAGTGCTGTGCCGAGCTCGGCGTTCACTGCTGTCGCCCCCACTGACAGGAGCTACCTGTGCCCGGCGAGCCACCGTAGTCGCGCCCACAGACAGTAGCCCGACCGCGACTGCGCCGTCTCGGGAGGGAAAGAGGACTCGGGGATCGCGGCGGGTACCTGGGAGAGAGGGCCAAAACGAGGGCGGGTAGGGGGAGGGAGGGTGTGGAAGGGTGTTGTGGGCTGGGAACTGGGAGTGGGTGTGGGACGGTGGGCCGCTACTGGTGTTCTATACAGTTTGTTTGCTTTTGTTTGCCTATCATGTGATAGCCTGTCTTTCTCAGTTGCACAGGCATATTATTTTTCTTTATTTTAGATTTATTCCTTGTTTGCAATCATGTGTTTGCCTGTTTCTGTCTGAGGTTAAATTGTTGGAGTTTATTGAATTTTCATAAAGTAGAGTCGGCATATATTTATTTTTGTTTGTACATTGCCAAGTTGAATGAATTGAACCATTTGCACTTAGCTGATACATAACATACATGTTCGTTTTTCACCTGTCACTCGCTGTCGCCGCCCATCGTTTACCAGCATGTGCTGTGTTGCAGTAGCCGCCGCCGTTCGGCCCGGGGTGCCCGTCTGCCGCGCTGCCTTCCCGCCCGACTCGGCACCAGTGGTGGTGACCAGCAGCCGGCCGCTCTCATCGTCCAGACCAGACTCTCTCGGCTCTACTCCGGCGCAGGCTTGTGCACCTCCAGCCGCTCACAGTCCCAACATCCCTCTCATCATCCTTCGAGAACCTTACAGAATGCCCTTTGCACAATCACCCATAAGATTACAATTAATAACTTTAGCCCAGCCCGCCAGTCATGGCGTGTTCCCCACATTGACACTAACGAACTCGCAATGGTCACTAAACAACCTTTACAAGAACATTAGAATTATGCTAGTCATTGGTGGCGTTGAAACAAACCCTGGACCCGAATTGTTTGACCACCTCAACATTGCTCACATAAATATAAACAGTATCACTGCAGGGGATAAAAAACACGAGCTTATGCAATTTGTAAGCATGAATAGTATAATGTTATGCGCTCTTACCGAAACAAAACTTGATGATACGGTTTCTCCTTCGTTATACCAGCTCGATAATTACCATGCCCCTTTCGTTCGACACAGAGATAGAAATGGCGGAGGAGTTGCGTTATATGCTCACGCTTCGTTACCGATAAAGAGACTTAGAGAGCTAGAGATCGGAGACGAAGAATGGATCTGGGCCAAAGTCTCGGTGCATAAACTTAGCTTGGTAATATGTTGCATATACTTACCACCAAATCAAACAACAGCCAGGTTACAACTGTTTATTGAGCGAATGACTGAAAGCGTTTCACTTGCACAGACCCACTCACCCACAGCTATAATGATATTAGGGGATTTCAACGCTGGAAATATATATCTAAATAGTACTGAACACAAGCATAGCGGCATCACAAACTTTGATCGCCAGCTCAACGACACTTTCAACATGCTAGACATGAAGCAACTCATATCACAGCCAACACGCATAACTGACAACGTCAGTAACCTGAGAGACTTAATTTTTACAAATAATACTGACATTATTCTACACAGTGACACGCTCTCAGCATTCTCAACTTTGGACCACCTTCCTGTAACTACATCACTGCGTACAACACACAGTTCATCAAACACTGACGTTACGTTTAAGACAATCTGGGACTATACGAGACTTGATGCTGATCTTTTTACCAGACTTCTTATAGACACGGACTGGGATCATATTATCGACAATGACGTAGATATAGCAGCGGAACAATTCACATCTGCCATCTTAAAAGCCGCCGAGACATCAATACCACATAAGAAGATACCAGTGAACCAGCGTAAAAAACCATGGGTGACATCAGACTTGATTAAACAAATAAGAAAGCGTGACAGACTCTTCAGACGGGCTAAACAGACTCAGACCACTTACGACTGGGAAAGATGGAAATATCAGCGTAACATCGTAACGGCGGTAAACAAACGACTAAGACAAACCCACATACAAAGCCAAGTTCAGAAACTCTTACAGCACAAACAAGACCCGCACAAGTACCACCAAACACTTCGCAAATTAACAGGTAAGACAGTTGACAGCATCATTCCACCGCTAGAAACGACTGACGGAAAAGTACTGACAGACGACTACGAAAAGGCGACATTGTTAAACGACTACTTTGTCAGTCAGGCAAAGCTCGACATTCCAAATTCGCACACCGTACCAATGGACAACATAGGACACACGACGATTCCCACCCTCGGTACAATTGAGACAACTGAGAGAGAAGTCCTACGAATCTTAAACTCCCTTGACTCTAATAAATCCACTGGCCCGGACAAAATCCCAGTAAAAATATTAAAATTATGTGCACTCATCATAGCAGGCCCACTTTCGAAATTGTTTAATAAGTCTCTCGCGTCTGGAATTTATCCTTCAACGTTTAAACAGGCCAATGTGAAACCCATATATAAAAATAATGGATCACCATCTGATTATACCTGTTACCGACCCATCAGTCTTTTATCTTCCCTTTCAAAAGTTTTTGAAAAAATTGTCCACAAACGCATTTATGATCATTTAACAGAACACTTATTATTGACTGACAAACAGAGTGGATACCGGAAAAAGCACAGCACGGAACAACAATTACTTTATTTGACCCATAACATGCACAAATCACTCGACTCAGGACATGACTTCACAGTAATTTACCTGGACATATCAAAATATTTTGACAAGATCTGGCACCAAGGACTATTATACAAATGCAAACATGACTTTGGCATAACTGACTCACTGTTAAAATGGTTGACTTCCTACCTCAGTGACAGACGACAACGAGTGCAAATAAACAACACCTTTTCGAACCAACAAATTGTTAACGCTGGCTGTCCTCAAGGCTCTGTACTCGGACCTCTCTTAGCCTTAATGTATCTTAACGGAATTCAACAAAACATCGACAATGAAATTTTACTTTTCGCAGACGACACATCTCTTCACGCATCCCACTCAACGACAGACCTCCACGACGTAGAACTTTCACTTCAACGCGACCTTGACAAAATATATAAATATGGCAGAAAATGGGCAATTACATTCAACACAACAAAGACAGTCCAGCAAACATTTTCACGTAGAAATAATTTCACAGCACCACGTCTCACATTTGGTAGGAATCCCATACCCATTCATGAAAACCACACTCATCTGGGATTAACATTCTCCAATGACCTACATTTTCACCATCACATCAACAAGATTTGTAAAAAGGTCAACCAATCACTAAGCCCACTATATCCAATTGCACAGTACGTACCCAGGCCCATTCTCGACCAAATTTATAAGACGTATATCAGACCACACTTCGACTATTGCGACACAGTATACGACGGACATATCACGACACACGACGCCATGCGACTCGAGAGACTACAAAACAGAGCGGCAAGACTCGTGACAGCAACCTTATTTAGAACACCAACTGACAAGCTTTTACTCGACTTAGGGTGGGATAGACTATCGACGAGAAGACGCATGCATAGAATAACACTTTATCACACATTCAACAGCCACGAAGAGTACACACCACAATATATTAAAAACACAATGCCTCACACACGCGCTGAAAACACCGGACGAGTCTTAAGGAATGCCAGTACACATACAACGACACCTAGCCGGACCACTTCGTACCATAATTCATTTTTTCCATTAACGGCTAAACACTGGAATGATCTCCCCGAAACCATCCGATCCCTGCCACGAACATCCTTCAAAAAGACCATTTCTGAGCGGCTGGGGGTGACCAAGCCTCCAAAATTTTATGAAACTGGGTCTAAATTGGGAAATATTTTACACACAAGACTAAGAACCGGAATGAGTCACCTGAACTCTCATCTCTTCCAAATTCAAAAAAGTGAAACATCAATGTGTGCTTGTGGCTTTCCAAACGAGAACGTTCGGCATTATATCCTTGACTGTGCACTCTACGAACCACTAAGGCTAGAAATGTTTCAAACTATTTCTTATCAAATAGGTATTGAGCTAAATGAAATTTCTCCTAAGCAAAAACTTGACTTCCTTATTCACGGTGAAACTCTGGACGATGAGAGCGGCTGCGCGGTCGCACATCTCTTTCAAAAATTCATTTTATCATCAAACCGGTTTACAGAACACTAAATTCAACACCAAGATACCACCTTGATCTAGGTTGTCAGGCTGCGGTTGGACGTGGCGCTCCGGACTGACCGTGCGGTGGCTCGCGCACACTGCTTTACTGCTCGGTGTCTGTCGTGGCGGCGACAGCCAACTCGTATGCTTTGAGTTTTGCCTATCAAATGTTTTCTGTATCTTAAGTTTAGGATCTCATCTGGTATGTTTTTGTCTGTTTGTTTGTATTTTCTTCTTCCAGAGTGATGCTCAAACTCAAGCGCTTTGCGCTTTTGCATCCCTCTGCTGCATTCTTCCAGAATCTTTCTGTCTTTGATAATAAACATTGTGTGTGTGTGTGTGTGTGTGTGTGTGTGTGTGTGTGTGTGTGTGTGTGTGGCATTGTTTTTTTCTATTTTGCGCCATGCGCGCCATCTGTCGGCTGCGGTCGCCCCGCGGCCGATGCGTTCACGGACTCAAACGGCGTTCGAAAGCTCGGCAAAAATCATTACGAAAGTACTTCGGTCATTTTTTAGGTCAGGTCAAAGGTCAGGTCACCAGAGGTCACCAAAATGAAAATGTTGCCCATTTCCCCGGATTTCGATAATTTTCCGCTTCAGACGCGCTAACTCGAGAATGAGAAGAGCTAGAGCGGCGCGGAAAAAAAGCAAACGATAGCCGATTTACAGCTGTACCTATCTTGATTAAGTCGTCAGATTTGACCGCAGGTCAACGGTTTAGCCTCCAGGGACCAACAATTGTTAAATAGCAAATATTGACGAAATTAGTTTTTCGAGTAAAACTTCTGATCTAGCAAAGCTACGACAATATTTCAATCACCATTGCATTCTTCACATCAAGACGCGTCGAATGATATAGGTATAAGATGACCTCGAAAGGACATGTTACAATTTTGACCTCAGGTCAAGGTCATGACCTGTCCCAAATAGGACATGCTGCATTTCAATCGATCCGTCTTGATGAGACGAACACAATGAACTGGTCCTGGACTCTGCATCTTGTTTCAATCAAAAGTTATTGCCAAAAGACGCCTGGTGACCTCTGATGACGTCACGTGACCTATTACACACAGTGCACGGGTCATTGGGACACCAGTCAACGCATGACCTACTGACACTATCTTGTGCATATTTTAGTTGTTTGTGATCGTTTTGACGCAAATCCGGACGAGTTTATTTTTCCCCATTGCTTTATAATGGGGATGTCGCAAAATTCATCTGACCTTTGGTCACAAATATCAAAATTCCGAGATATACATTTTGTAGGTCCTGTTACCCTTATTACATACAGGAAGTTACAAAGTGATCGGTCAAAGGGTGTAGCTAGGGCGCGTGTTTGAATTTTTTGGAGGTTGGGTCACTGGACTTGACCTGGTGACCTGACCTTGGGGGACCTGGGTCTGAAATTTTCACACAATGTGCGGAAAATATACCAGAATAGCTGTGCCGAGAAAAACCTTAGGGGGGTGTCCAAACACCCCCCGGCCCGGCGCGGGTTAACTAAAAAGTAAATCAGCGTAAAAGTGATCAAATTATCGTTTGGTGTGTTATGCTTATTTTACGGTTTGACAATGATCAACTGGTAGCTGAAATGCGTGTCTGTGTGTGTGTGTGTTTGTGTTTTAGATGCTGCGCTGGAGCATCTGGCTTTCGAGGTGCGAGAAGAGGACAAGATATATTCGCCACCGACACTCGGAGGGCCTATGGTTCTCTGGGACGAGGCCCTCTGGGTGGAAGGGGAGAAAGTGACAGACCTCACTTTCAACAAGCAGGACCAATTCCTGACATGGGGGGCGGGGTTCACTGTGTTCGCACAGAAACCCACACGCAAGGCAACGCAATGCTTGGCCTACGTGGCCACAGTGATGCTGCTAAAGACGGACATGCTGAAGCCCCCTAAGGGGTTTGAGTATGCGCTGAAGCCCCCTAAGGGGCTTCAGCGCATACTCAAACACTTAGATGTGTAAGTTTCGTCCGCGTGAAGCGTACACGACGTGCAGCTGTGTCGAGTGTCGTGGTTACGTCGTATCGTGTCGTGGTTACGTCAAAATAAATGTCATGTGGCAAAAAATAATGGTGTGCAGCTACACTCAGCACTCAGGGTGGCGTGACGCGGGTGTTGAAAGTACCCGTGGGAGAAGTGTCAGGTCTGAAGTGCAACACCCCGTAAGAGGGTTCTTCTCAGGTGTCCACCCACAACGCAGGTGTAAACAGTGGGTGTTGAAACTCCATGCGGGTGTAAAAAGCGGGTGTTGAAACTCGATATTGGTGTAAACAGGGGGTGTTGATATATGATACTGGTGTAGACAGCGGGTGTTGACACTCAATGCGGGCATAAACACGAGGCGTTGATATTTGATACGGGTGTAGACAGGGGGCGTTGACACTCGATATGGGTATAAACAGTGGGTGTTGACACTCGATTCGGGTATAAACAGTGGGTGTTGATATTTGATACGGGTGTAGACAGCGGGTATTGACACTCGGTGCGGGTATGAACAGTGGGTGTTGACACTCTATGCGGGTGTAAAACGGTGGGTGTTGATATTTGATACGGGTGTAGACATCGGGTGTGTTGTTTGATACTGGCGTAGGCATCGGGTGTTGATATTGGATACGGGTGTAGACATCGGGTGTTGATACTCAACACAGGTGTTCGATGATGCCTTGATGGAGGGTTAGTTAACACCCGCTCAGATGCTTAAATATGGTACAAGATCAACGACACCCGTTCCGCGGGTTTACACTCGAGACGGGTGTAAAAAAGTTTTCAGTGTATTTTCGCAAAGACGGCCGGCGCTCGGAGCGCGGCGGTCGGTCCGCCGCGCCACGCCGCTCACATATATGTCATCTGGCCCCTGTCCTGGTTCTCAGGCCCACGTGTTGTGCTACCACGAGGGCTGAGACGGGACGGGGGCCCGACAGTCTTCGACGGGATCCACCGGTGCGCGACGGCCCGGTGTCATACAACGTGGCCGACGTGGCCTTACGTACAACGCGGCCGACGTGGCCCTACGAGAACGATTCAGTGAACCGCATTTGTGGCCCACGTATTTTGTGCATTTTAACCGATTCCATTTCATTCAAGAATAGACTTTTACTTATTTATGTATAAAAGCTTTTCATTCCCCCTCCCTCCCGCTTACCGCTCGTCACCGTTGTCACCGTTGGGTCACCGTTGGATATCACGTGCGCTGCAAATCATATACCCAGGGGCGTCGCCGACGGGGGGGGGGGTCGGTGGGGTCGTGACCCCCCACTCTTGAAAACTGGGGGTGTCGACCCCCCCCCACTTTTTGCGATGCTGAGTATGCTTTTTTAGCTTTTATGTCAGTGAAGCAGGCGTCAGCAACACCAACAAATACATCAGATTCAGAATCGCTTCAAGAGCTCGCTGAAGCCAATTAGCCAATTAGGCCTAAAGTTCAATTAGCTGTGGGCGGGGAACACCAGCACAACAATGTTTTTAAGTAGCCACCATTCTAGTACCTTTTTATCCCTCAAAGGATTGGACTCGCCAAAACTGCCCCGAGCGTTCGTCTGATCGTTTAAAAAAAAAAATGGTCGCAGTCGATTCGTCGGATCAGTACCTAACTACAAAAATACAAACTAGCCTCAGCCCCATGGCTACCGTCACAACTAGCTGTACGTACAGTGCACATGTAGGGGAAAGGGAGTCAGATGAAACCGTCTCGGGCTTTCGCAAAGAAGTCGCGCAAAAAGAAGCCGATTGCAACGAAACTTCCGGTGCGCTCGAGTTAATCACCTACTTAAAAATAAATCGATATCCTTGATTCAAATAAAGATGACCTTGGTTCACTTTTTCATAAAATGCTTTTAATTTAGGTATAGGATAGTTTTTGGAGCTGATTTTGAACTTAGCGCCCATCTGAACATTTACGAAGTAGTTGTGTTGCTTATCATACATATAACATGTTAGGAAGCAATCGGTGGTGGTCATCCACTGTTAGGTAGGGGAGAGCGGGGAGAGTTGTATCATGTCCAAGTTGTATCAGGGCGAATTGTGCCAAACTTATCCAATAGATGGCGCTCGTGACACGACCAGCCGACGAGGTTTTCCGGGCGCCATCTTTCCCTGTTCTGTCGTGTGGCTGGGTGGACGCGTCTCGAAGTGAGAGCCGATTTTATGTTTTTTTAATGTCATTCTAAAAAAATAAGTTGCAAGAAAATGTGTGTTTTGGGCATTTAGATGTGCACGAATTTGAAAGATCTCCGTAGCGGTGGTGAGGGTAGGTTCTAAGGCTGCGTGAGTGAAAATGGATTTCTCCAGCTGTCCGCTGTTTTTGAGCACGAGGATGTTTTTTCCAAGATGGCGGCGAGGTACATGTTGTATCAGAGCCGGGTGGGGTATGTTGTAACATGTATGTATGTATGTATGTATGTATGTATGTATGTATGGGTATGTTGCTTTTGATCGCGAAAGCTAAGCCCTGGCTCGCGTTTGTAGGTAGCTAGTCAATACTCGTTCCATTTCGGCACAATGTGTTGGCTTCTTTGCTCTTAACGGGCCACTTTTGCGTCTAGTCTGTTGATGTTTCGTTCGTTTCGATGTTTCGTTCGGATTGCATTGACCTAAGTTTGGTCTAATAAAAGTGATGCCTTTGAGCATATACATTGTATTAACCCCATTTAATGTTGTTGTTATGTTCAAAACCAGTAGCAAGCACACTCCCTGAAACGTGAAATACCTAGTGATACAAATTACCCCACCATGTGATACAACTCACCCAAGCCATGGGGCAAGTTGTATCAAAAACATTGCTCTATTCGGCAGACCGTAGAAGAAAAACTGGTAGAGGTAGCGGAAAAGTTACTTTGCACAAAAAAGCAGAAGAATCAAGGAAGGAGATAGTATGGAAATAATGAGTTTATCACGGATAGTTACGAGGTTATGGGTCTCGGAGTAAAAACTGATACAACCCACCCCACTCTCCCCTACTGGTCGATCTGACCTCACCTGATCTACCCCAAATGCATGGAGTCATCATCTTCGTTCAAAACTAAGATAACAAATTCGTAATCAGAACCTCGAAAAACCATCACAACTTACATTCGCAAAGTTCTAGCAGGTCCCGAGTTTCCCTACTTATTGGCGATGACCTGAGTCCTGAGATGACCCGAAACCTTCAGTAAATGGGTATCATCGGCTTTCTCTCGTCACGGGCAGCATGCTCTTTCTTTCCGCAAACCTCTAGATCGATCAGGGGTCGAAAGCATACCTCAGCGTTACTTTAGTATACGTTATACGTTAGCGACTGGGAACCCACCAATAGAAGGGCTACAGTGAAGCAGAAAACATATTCGATAGCTCTTTCAACGCTCTTTCGCTAGCTTCGCGTCAGGTCTATGTTTTGCCCATAGAAGGCAAACAGCTAACTGGACAGATTCTGCCGAAACATTTGCTTTGCAATAACTTTAGATTCCGTGAATTTGTATGGTATTTACATACATGTTGTCTTGTCACTACCGTGTTTATCTCTTTGAGACGCGTCACATGAGTTAAAATTTGACCATTCAGAATTAACGTTAAAACGACCTCAGGTCAACGTTATGTCCTGATCGAAAAAGGACCTCCTGCTACATATGAATGGATCCGTGTTGTTGAGCTGAACAGTGAACACCTTCCAGGTGCTGTCATCGCTCATACCGCATCTTCGTCAAAAGTTGTAGAAAGAAAAATGTTGGTGGCCATCGATGGACATTTCCACTAATCACCTTTCGAGTCATCACTTGCCATAAGTTGCACCCTGTCCCTGGCAATGATGAGCTGATTTGTCATGGCTCCAAAGATATTTTGCGTTTCTGACGAACTTTTTCAAAGCAGGAGGCATTCGTGCATTTTCTAATTTCTCATTATTTTCTAATGATGAGGTCACGTATTTGACCTGCCTCCAGATCATAGATGTAAATCCTCAGAATCATGAATTGCTGACACGTATAACCCCATACATTAGGTATACAGTGTACCAAATTTCGAAGTTATGGGAGAAAAGCTACAAGAATGGCGAGGGGGGAAAGTTTGATAGAGGTATACCGTATAACTGAACTTGACATGGCGACCTGACCTTAAGTGACCAGTGCTAATTTTTACGCAAGTGATGTAGGTAGGTATACCTACCTAATAGGTTATACCAAATTTCGCGGCGCTGCGCGCCGATTTGTTACACGCGCACACACACACATACGCACGCACAAAACTGGGAAGTGTGGCAAAAAAAAAAACTACCCATCGGGTGAAGACTAGAAACCCGACCCCCCCCCCCCCCCACTCAAAAATCCGTGGCGACGCCCCTGCATATACCGATAACGATGCCGTTTTCTGGTGCTAAGCCAGCTAGAACCTCTTTGTCACACTACCGGACCAGATCTTTGCTGCTAAGGTCGTTTCAGGTCAAGTTAGGTCAAGGTCAATTATATGTGTTTGTATGTCTGTGTGTGTCTGTGTGTATACTGATGTGTGCACCGATTGTTTATGTGTCCATATTACATGAAATCATGATGTGAGAAGCTTTTACCAAAAATGCAGTCAAAAAACTTCACGGAAAGTAAATTCAGCCTGCCTAAAACGCAATTATTTTAGATGGCCTAGGCTGACCTTGACCTTGACCTTGACATCTGTACATCGTCGAACAACATGTTCCATGATAGGTGGGAGGCAAGACTGTCAAAAAAGGCCGAAAGCAAGGTGTTAAAAGCTCACAAGGCCCATAGCCAACGCAAGATGTTGAGAATTTATCATATGGGTCATGACATGACCTGAAAAACAAGGTCATATCTCCGAAACCAAGAACCACAGAAACTTCAAGAAAGGATAGAGGAGCAGCTGTACGACAAAAATCAGGCTTCTAGCTCTAACAATGTGGAGTGCAGAGCAGAAAGACTACCTGGGGGGGGGGGGGGGAGGTGGTTACCACCCCCCCATGTGCGGGCGCGGGTTAATCAATCTCCCCCTCCCCAACCCTGACCAGGCGAGGGATGAGATGTAGGTCCGAACCCTCCATTTTGTCGAGATATCCGCTGAAATCATAGACCCGCCTCTTCCATCCCTGCACA